GGTGAAAATTTCATGTCATTAGCACCTCTAGTAATATATTTACTGAGAAAAATGTTGACGTGTTCAATACTTATTTTACTCGCTGTAAATGGAAAAATAGATTAAACTCATCTCTCGTTTTCGCTCCTCAGGGGTCATTTTGACAGGAAGGCAACTGAAGCAGCTTCTTGATTCGTGTTTTATAAGGACGTTGTAGACATAATGCTTCACAACACAACCGAACACTGAAAGGCCCATCTGGGGGCGTCTAACAATATGTCTTATGGTCCCAAATGAAACAAATGATGCTTACAGAATGTTATTAGTTCAATACATCATGCTTAACAATCACTGGTTGTCAGGAGTCTGTGGATCCCACACCTTGAGAATCAGCTCTGCTGTGTGGATCCATCAGATCTGTGGGTTCATCCAGATCCCATAAATCTGTACATTTAACTGGGTCCAACAGATCCTGATGTGTTTGGCTGCTTTGTCACTCCTTTTAACTGAAGACACTCCGTCAAACTGACTGACTGGCTGATGACTCATCTGGGTCGAACCGTTTATTTTATTTACATAATCTTTTTTTTCTCTCTGCAGCCTCTTTGTGCCAAAGGGAAGTGCGGAAACAGATGTAGTTTCCGTTTGATTTCCTGAACATTGTTTCTTTCCTGCAGGTGAGTTCATTAAGGCTCTGTATGAGTCTGATGAGAACTGTGAGGTGGATCCGTCCAAGTGTTCATCTGGAGACCTGCCGGAACATCAGAGTAACCTGAAGATGTGCTGCGAGCTGGCCTTCTGCAARATCATCAACTCCTACTGGTGAATCCTGCAGCCTGGTCCAAACACTCTGATTTTATATCAAACAGAGCCATGTTATTATGGTCTGTAAAGTATTAGATGTAGGAGGGGCTCATTGGACACATTTTTTCTTTATGATTTTGTTTTTAGTTTAATCGGTTTAAAATATAATTTGAAGACAAAAATCTTAGATCAGCTTCGAACCAATACAAGAATTGAGGACATTTTATTTGATTTAGCTACAGGTAACTTAAAATACATCTCAACAAATATTTTAGCTTGAGTGTTTAATGCAAACTATAGAAACAACTTTGTGATTAAAACTTTTACTTTTTTGTTGTCTCAGAGAAAAAATACAATCATGTTGATTCTGTAGAAAAACCCAAGAAACCAAATTTTTCTAAATAAACCTTTTTTTCTAACTTCTTTATTTTACATATATACACATGTACAGTAAAAGGATGTATGGTTGTCAATTATTCAATGTTGTATAAAGTATCTCAAAGTGATACTTGAGTAAAAGTACAAGTATGTTATCATAAAAATATTTTGGTAAAAGTTAAAGTCTTCTCTAAAAATATTGCTTGAAGTCTTAAAGTATCTGATATTTTTTGTACTTGAGTATCAAAAGTAAATTTCTGACACAAAATCTACTTAAGTATTAAAAGTAAAAGTACTGAGTAAAAG